AGATGTGGTCGAGGACTTCCAAAAATTATCCTTTTTTTTTAAACAACATAGAACCCAAATGCAAAAAAAGAGAAAAATCCAACCTTTTATTTAAGTACATTACTTTGGTGGTAAAAAAAAAAATCACACCTTTAGAAAAAAAAAAACTTGAAATCATGTGTCCCACAATTATTGGCACCCCTAACAATTCCGCTGAAAATTTTAATTGATTTTTAAAAAAAAATATTTTTCTGTAGTTGCTAAAGTTGGTCAGGGTATCTAGGAACGTTTAATTAGTAATTCATGACTTCCTGTTTCCCTGGGGTATAAATATGACGTGACACAGAGGCCTAATTCTCTTACCCATTTGTCAACATGGCAAAGACAAGAGAACACACCATTCAAGCAAGGCAGATTTGTGTCGACCTTCATAAGTCAGGCAATGGCTACAAGAAAATAGCCACTCGCCTTAACTTGCCCGTATCTACAGTCAGAGGAATCATTAAGAAGTTTAAAACAACTGGAACAGTGACAAACAAGGCTGGAAGAGGTCCCAAGTTTATCTTGCCACAACGCACAGTGAGGAGGATGGTAAGAGAAGTAAAAAAAAGTCCTAAGCTCACTGTCACAGAATTGCATCAAAGAGTGGCATCTTGGGGTCACAAAGTCTCCAAAACAACCATCAGACGCTCTCTACATGCCAACAAGCTGTTTGGGAGGCATGCAAGGAAAAAGCCTTTTCTCACTAACACTCACAAACGTAAACGTCTGGAGTTTGCTAAGTGGCACTGGGACTTCAACTGGGATCGTGTGCTTTGGTCAGATGAGACTAAGATTGAGCTTTTTGGCAACAAACACTCTAAGTGGGTCTGGCGTAAAACAAAAGATGAGTATGCCGAAAAGCACCTCATGCCCACCGTGAAGTATGGTGGAGGATCTGTGATGCTGTGGGCCTGTTTCTCTTCCAAAGGCCCTGGGAACCTTGTTAGGGTGCATGGCATTATGAACGCTTTGAACTACCAGGACATTTTAAATAAAAACCTGATGGCCTCTGCCAGAAAGCTGAAGATGGGTCGTCATTGGGTCTTTCAGCAGGATAATGATCCAATACATGTGGCAAAATCTACACAAAAATGGTTCAGCAGTCACAAACTCAAGGTCCTCCCATGGCCATCTCAGTCCCCAGACCTCAACCCAATCGAAAACCTGTGGGGCGAGCTAAAGAGGAGAGTGCATAAGAGAGGACCCAGGACACTGGATGATCTAGAAAGATTGTGCAAAGAAGAATGGTCAAAGATCCCTCTCTCTGTGTTCTCCAATCTTGTGAAATGTTATAGGAGGAGATTAAGTGCTGTCTTGTTGGCAAAAGGGGGTTGTACAAAGTATTAACATCAGGGGTGCCAATAATTGTGGGACACATGATTTCAAGTTTTTTTTTTCTAAATGTGTGATTTTTTTTTTTTACACCAAAGTAATGTACTTAAATAAAAGGTTGGATTTTTCTCTTTTTTTGCATTTGGATTCTATGTTGTTTAAAAAAAAAGGAGAATTTTTGGAAGTCCTCGACCACATCTTAAACAGGGGTGCCAATAATTGTGGAGGGCACTGTAGCTACCTCAATTACCTCGTACCCCTGCACATGAACTCGGTAGTGGTACTCCCTGTATATAGCCATGTTATTTTTTACTTGTTATTGTTATTCATTATTCACTGTATATTTATTCCTTGTGTCACTATTTCTATTTATTATTTAATTTTTTATCTTTAACTCTGCATTGTTGGAAAAGGACCCGTAAGTAAGCATTTCACTGTTAGTCTAAACCTGTTGTTTATGAAGCATGTGACAAATACAATTCCTTTTTTTTTTTTTTTTTACTCTATTGGGGAAGCCCCAAGCTATATTCCACGTTTGTCCCAGGCTTTGCCCCATTGTTGAAACGCCTACATCCCCCTCCCACAGCCTCCTCTCTGCACCTGGGTCTCTTGCATAATCGACAATCTCCAGATGTCATGGTAACTGTTTCCAAGGTGACCAATGAAAAGCAAAAGGAGGTGTTGGTAGATCAACCTCTCTACTTTAACCTTTGACCTTTGCTAGAGCATAACAAACCTCCAGTTCGATACTGTGGCGATACTACTGTTTTTATCGTTCCAAAATTGATAATACATGATACATTGATTGTTGCGTTGATTGCTCTACTGGACTGAACATGTAAATGAAAACAGGCAGGACACACATATGCATGACTCATGCAAGCACAAGCGAATGTGTGCAAACACAGTGCTATATTCGCACCCCTATGAAAATAGTATCTTGTAAATTAAAATGTTCCTTTTGTGATATAGTATGACACTGATATACAGCATTGTTCAATCACAGGTTCCAATATGACTTATGGGCTGTGGGCAGTCTCTTTTCTAGAGTGAGTAAATTTACATCGCAAATCCTTAAGTGGTCTACACAGTCTACGCAAACAGAGCCGATGGAGGTCCGTTTGTGTCGCTCTCTAAGTAGTTCTACGTACATTTATGTGACATACATTTTGGAACGCGATGCAAACGGACCTCCGTCGGCTCCGTTTGCGTAGACTGTGTAGAGCCCTACAGTGGGTATCATAAGTATTCAACCTCCTTGTTTTTTCAGTTTGTTGCGTTACAAATTGTGATTGAAATATATTGAATTGTGTGATTTTTTTTCATTGATCTACACAAAATACTTGATAATGTCAAAGTGAAAAGAAAATTTAAATTTATAAATTAGTTCAGGAGTAAAATGTACATGGACTCACTCTGTGTGAAATAATAGGGATTTACATTATTTTTCCTGACTACCCCTTCCCCTGTCCGCCATACATACAACATCTGTAAGGTCCCTCAGTCAAGTATTGAATTTCAAGTATAGATTCAACTACAAAGACCAGGGAGCTTTTCGAAAGCCACATAAAGAAGGGCAGTGATTGGTAGATGGGTAACAACAATAAATCAGACATTGAATGTCTCTTTAAGCATGGTCAAGTTAATAATTATGCTGTGGATTATATTTTAAACCACCCAGATACAGTCGTCCTTCTGAACTGAGCTGCAGGACAGTAAGGGAACTGCTCAGGGATGTCACCATTAGGCCATTGGTAATTTTAAAACAGCTACAGAGTTCAATGGCTGTGATGGGAGACAATTGTGGATGGATCAACAACATTGTAGTGACTCCACAATAATGACCTAAATGACAGATTGAAAAGAATAATACAAATATACAGAATACAAATATTCCAAAACATGCGTCCTGTAAGCATTGCTAAAGTAATACTGAAAAAAATGACGGCAAATGAATACACTTTTTGGCCTAAATGCAAAGCCTTATGTTCAAGGCAAATCCAACACATCACTGAGTAACTGCCTCTTTATTTCCAAGCATGGTGGTGGCTGCATCATGGTATAGGTATGCTTGACATAGGCAAATAATAGCTAGTTCGCTACAACAAGACTGGGGAGATTTTTCAGGATAAAAACAAACAGTGTGGAGCTAAGCACAGGCAAAATCCTAGAGGAAAACATGCTTCAGTCTCCTTTACACCAGACACTGGGAGAGGAATTCACCTTTCAACAGGACAATAACCTAAAACACAAGGCCAAATCTACACTAGAGTTGCTTACCAATATTCCTGAGTGGGCAAGTTACAGTTTTGACATAAATCTGTTTGAAAATCCATGGCAACACTTGAAAATTGTTGTCTAGCCATGACCCCCAACACCTTGACAGAGCTTGAAGAATTCTGAAAATAATGGGCAAATATTGCACAATTCAGGTGTGCAAAGCTCTTAGAGACTTACCTAATAAAACACAGCTGTAATCGCAGCCAAATGTGTTTCTAACATGTATTTACTCAGGGGGTGAATACTTATCTAATCAAGATACAGTATACTAGTGTTTTATTTTTCATTAATCTAAAAATAAAATTGATTTTTCTTCCACTTTGACATTACAGAGTATTTTGTGTAGATCGTTGACAAAAAATTACAATTAAATCCATTTTAATTCCAATTTTGTAACACAATAAAATGTGAAGAAATCCAAGGGGGGTGAATACTTATGAAAGGCACTGTATGTGACAACAACCTTCAGAGACTTAGTTAGTGAGTAAACCTGTGGGTGAACAAAGTGGGAGTGAACTACAAGCTCCTGATGGATCCATATCCGAATATGTTGAGGGTTTTGTAATGCCAACCAAAAGTATACTAATGTAAAAAGGGTTGTATATGAGACATTTGTTAGAACCCTTAACTCACCTGTCAAAATCTTGTGAAGTCTCGAATTACAATCCATGTTGGTTTTTCTGTTCAATTCCATGATTGATGGTCACAACACCGCAATCACTATGCCCTTCGATCTGAAGCTTGAAGACTCAAGTGCAATGATAATACACACAGAAATATGGGTGTATTGTATTTACTTGCTTTAGACTTGGAGGAGGAAAATCACATTACCCCCAACTATGGGGACGAATGAAGATGCTGATGCACTTTCACCTCATAATAGCTGGCCCATTACTAAAAGCTGCCTTGGTTTTGGTTGGGGCAAGTCTTACATGTTGATGGTGTCTGAAGATAGGGCTAAACCTTCGTGGTGACTTTGTCACAAGTGTAGAAAGGTACGATGTTGTTCAAGTAAACAAACAGGCTAAAAACAGCAATATGAGATTCAGCACCATGGACAGCGGCATAATAGGAAATCCGAATTTCTGCACCTGGACAGTGGAAAGCGACTGTCCTGCGCAATGGTCACTCCCCAGTTCACACTGCTGGGTGAATCCCATTTAATAGGAAGGCGGCCTATCCTAGGCTAGAAAGGCTTTTGATAATGTTCAGATGCGAGGAGCTGTAGCTGGGGATTTGATAGAGAATATCATGGCAATGGTTTTTATAACAGAGAAATTCTACCACAGAACCTCTACAGTGCTATGTGGACGCATGGAGGCGCTGATGCACTGCCATGCCCATGAGATGACAATCCATGATTATATGGTTTAGCTGCACCTGCAATGAGGGACAACTGTCTCTGGCAGCCAGTGTACTTGTAGGTTATAATCAGACATCTAAATATCTAACGTCATAGTTCAGGTAATTTAGCTGATAATATAATCTCGTGACATTTTTCAGTAGACAGCAACGTTGCAAAGCCATCTAATCAGCAGTCAGTAGAAAGGCAAGTTAACCGCAAGATAGCTAACGTTACTGTTAGCTTAGCTAGCTAACATAAACAAACAAACATTTTGGGGTATTTTGCGGTTTAACGAAATGGATAAAAATGACACAACAACATACAGTGTACAACTGTATATATACGACCTGTCAAGAGGAATGGCTCGCAATCTCAGCCCCATCATGTTAGGTAAGTGAAGCTCAGTCTCGACATCTTCCCCAGATAATGAGGCTGTGTAGCTAGCTAGCTGCCGGTTGAGATTGATTGAGCACGTCGGCAGGCCTTTGATCCAGCTGATGGCTAGCTAGTTACCTGGCTAACATTACTCTTGCAATTAATTCGTTTTTTTAAAACTATCGTTAACTTTCTAACTAGTTCGCTACAACTTGTCAATTGAAGTAGGTTTGAGCTTGGTTTATATAGTATAGCCTAGCTATTCAAAGGCTTATTCTTCAGAATTTCAGCTCAACAATATTGCAACGTTTACGTTAGCTAAAATGCTAGCTAGCTACACAAGACAAGAGGTGTGTGCGAGCTTAATTGACATACATGCACATCAGCAGCATCAAGCCTCCGTCCCACATATATATTTTCATGTGTTACAGGAAAACAACTTGATGGCATTTGGTAAGAATTCTCCCACCTATAATTTTGTGACAATACAATTAATCCACACATCAAGCTAATATCATTAAGAACACCAATAAGCTATTGTCTTTGCTGTCACTCTGCAATTATTCAAATGATTATTTTCATGTCCAACATCTAAGTCATATTGTAACCATCCACTCCTGTACACTCATTCCTGTGTTTCAATTATCAAAGGCACTCAGCCATTGTGGTTTATGGAGACGAGTTCTACTTTGGAGGAGTGGGTATTTCCAGCTGCTCACCGGTAAGCCTAAAATGATGTATTGGCTAATATCCTCCTAATATTTGCTAAGACCTACTTCAGTGTGCCCCTACTCTTTATCATAGGTTTACACTAGCTGACAGTAAGACTAGGCCTATATTGGTATGACCTTCAAAGAGGAGGGAAGTTAAACGCATAGGATAAGCAGGGACGTTTTGGGGGTTGGTGTTTTGTAGGATAATATGGACTTTATGTGTTTTAGGGGGGAACAATGCTTGGTTCCCCAGACACTGTGGTGGAATTGGGAAACACAGAGGTGACAGAGGAGATCTTCATGGACTACCTGTCCTCGCTAGGAGAGAACACATACAGGTGTGTGTGTGTCACAAAAAAAGTGTTGTTTTTGGGTAACTCACATCATCCACCACCACCTTGGTGGACGCATGATCCATGAACACAACATAGCAGTGATACAGTTGAAGTTGGAAGTTTACATACACTTAGGTTGGAGACATTAAAACTTGTTTTTCAACCACTTTGTGCATGACACAAGTAATTTTTCCAACAATTGTTTACAGACAGATTATTTCACTTATAATTCACTGTATCACAATTCCAGTGGGTCAGAAGTTTACATACACTAAGTTGACTGTGCCTTTAAACAGCTTGGAAAATTCCAGAAAATGATGTCATGGCTTTAGAAGCTTCTGATAGGCTAATTGACATCATTTGAGTAAATTGAAGGTGTACCTGTGGATGTATTTCAAGGCCTACCTTCAAACTCAGTGCCTCTTTGCTTGACATCATGGGAAAATTTAAATAAATCAGCCAAGACCTCAGAAAATGTTTTGTTGACCTCCACAAGTCTGGTTCATCCTTGGGAGCAATTTCCAAATGTCTGAAGGTACCACGTTCATCTGTACAAACAATAGTACGCAAGTATAAACACCATGGGACCACGCAGCCGTCATACCGCTCAGGAAGGAGACGCGTTCTGTCTCCTAGAGATTAACGTACTTTGGTGCGGAAAGTGCAAATCAATCCCAGAACAACAGCAAAGGACCTTGTGAAGATGCTGGAGGAAACAGGTACAAAAGTATCTATATCCACAGTAAAACAAGTCCTATATCGACATAACCTGAAAGGCTGCTCAGCAAGGAAGAAACCACTGCTCCAAAACTGCCATAAAAAAGCCAGACTACGGTTTGCAACTGCACATGGGGACAAAGATCGTACTTTTTGGAGAAATGTCCTCTGGTCTGATGAAACAAAAATAGAACTGTTTGGCCATAATGACCATCGTTATGTTTGGAGGAAAAAGGGGGTACTTGCAGGCCGAAGAACAAGGAGGCCTACAAACCTGACTCAGTTACACCAGCTCTGTCAGGAGGAATGGGCCAAAATTCACCCAACTTATTGTGGGAAGCTTGTGGAAGGCTACCCGAAACGTTTGACCCAAGTTAAACAATTTAAAGGCAATGCTACCAAATACTAATCACTGGGAATGTGATGAAAGAAATAAAAGCTGATTTATTCAGACATTTCACATTCTTAAAATAAAGTGGTGATCCTAACTGATTTAAGACATGGAATTTTTACTAGGAATAAATGTCAGGAATTGTGAAAAACTGAGTTAAATGTATTTGGCCAGGGTGTATGCAAACTTCCGACTTCAACTGTAGCTGATTTTAGATCTGAGATTTCTTTCTGTTCTTGTTCTTCCATAGAGGCGACAAGTACAGGTTGTTTGAGCACAACTGTAACACCTTCACTAATGAGGTGGCCCAGTTCTTAACAGGCCGGAAGATCCCTTCTTACATCACAGACCTGCCCTCCGAAGTGCTCTCCACGTGAGTATACATACTTACTAGCTGAGCGACAGATACTAGTAATGCAGTACTGACTTGTGTACCTCTCTGACCCTGTACCCTGTTCCTCTCTCTAACCATTTAGACCCTTTGGTCAGATACTCCGGCCTATACTGGACTCCATCCACATCGCTCCTCCTGGGGGGAACGTCATCAATGGTCGCCACAGCTAAACTGCCTGAACTGCACACAGTAATATTTAGATATGTTCTAATTTACATTTTCAACATGGAGTGGGTTATTGAAGAAACATGGAGGGTAAATCTCAGTGAGTCTAGTCAGTCAAACTGCTTTTGTACTGCATATGCTTGGTATTAGTATGATTGTTTTATAACTCCCCACCAGCAATGCTCTCGCCTTTTGTATATTTAAAAAATATCGATTCAGTTTCCAGTTTTTGTTTACGGAACTTCCTTATTGCCTCTAATGGTATGATCCTGATCTGAGAGAAAGCTGCAAAACATTAACTTTCTCACAAATCCTACAATATCATCAATATGATTTATAAGAAGGTTAGCATGTATCTCAAGTCAGGGTTTCAGCATGACTTCCAATGGACTACTCCACCTTCCACCAGATGGTGTGTGCTATATACACCTCTGTGCCTTCACCTCTCACACCTTGGTGTTAATGATGCTGATAGTGTGATATGAAGGATTAATGCTGAAGTGCACAAAATCTGCATTAGTCCTCTGGATGAAGAAACAGACCATGCGTATCTTGTGTGTGTTTGAAATAATCTCAAATGTAATTTATTATGAAAAAGTTTGTAAAAATGTGTGTTGGGGTCAAATTATACTTACAGTGAGGGAAAAAACTATTTGATCCCCTGCTGATTTTGTATGTTCGCCCACTGACAAAGAAATGATCAGTCTATAATTTGAATGGTAGGTTTATTTGAACAGTGAGAGACAGAATAACAACAAATAAAATAAAATAAAACGCATGTCAAAAATGTTATAAATGTATTTGCATTTTAATGAGGGAAATAAGTATTTGACCCCTCTGCAAAACATGACTTAGTACTTGGTGGCAAAACCCTTGTTGGCAATCACAGAGGTCAGACGTTTCTTGTAGTTGGCCACCAGGTTTGCACACATCTCAAGAGGGATTTTGTCCCACTCCTCTTTGCAGATCTTCTCCAAGTCATTAAGGTTTCGAGCCTGACGTTTGTCAACTTGAACCTTCAGCTCTATCCACAGATTTTCTATGGGATTAAGGTCTGGAGACTGGCTAGGCCACTCCAGGACCTTAATGTGCTTCTTCTTGAGCCACTCCTTTGTTGACTTGGCCGTGTGTTTTGGGTCATTGTCATGCTGGAATACCCATCCACGACCCATTTTCAATGCCCTGGCTGAGGGAAGGAGGTTCTCACCCAAGATTTGACGGTACATGGCCCCATCCATCATCCCTTTGATGCGGTGAAGTTGTCCTGTCCCCTTAGCAGAAAAACACCCCGAAAGCATAATGTTTCCACCTCCATGTTTGATGGTGGGGATGTTGTTCTTGGGGTCATAGGCAGCATTCCTCCTCCTCCAAACACGGCGAGTTGAGTTGATGCCAAAGAGCTCCATTTTGGTCTCATCTGACCACAACACTTTCACCCAGTTCTCCTCTGAATCATTCAGATGTTAATTGGCAAACTTCAGACGGGCATGTATATGTGCTTTCTTGAGCAGGGAGTCCTTCACGGCGTAGTGTGTTACCAATTGTTTTCTTGGTGACTATGGTCCCAGCTGCCTTGAGATCATTGACAAGATCCTCCTGTGTAGTTCTGGGCTGATTCCTCACCGTTCTCATGATCATTGCAACTCCACGAGGTGAGATCTTGCATGGAGCCCCAGGCCGAGGGAGATTGACAGTTCTTTTGTGTATCTTCCATTTGCGAATAATTGCACCAAATGTTGTCACCTTCTCACCAAGCTGCTTGGCGATGGTCTTGTAGCCCATTCCAGCCTTGTGTAGGTCTACAATCTTGTCCCTGACATCCTTGGAGAGCTCTTTGGTCTTGGCCATGGTGGAGAGTTTGGAATCTGATTGATTGATTGATTGCTTCTGTGGACAGGTGTCTTTTATACGGGTAACAAGCTGAGATTAGGAGCACTCCCTGTAAGAGTTTGCTCCTAATCTCAGCTCATTACCTGTATAAAAGACATCTGTGAGCCAGAAATCTTTCTGATTGAGAGGGGGTGAAATACTTATTTCCCTAATTAAAATGCAAATCAATTTATAACATTTTTGACATGCGTTTTTCTGGATTTTTTTGTTGTTATTCTGTCTCTCACTGTTCAAATAAACCTACCATTAAAATTATAGACTGATCATTTCTTTGTCAGTGGGCAAACGTACAAAATCAGCAGGGGATCAAATACTTTTTTCCCTCACTGTATTCTTGTATAATTTTCATTGGGCCATCAGTGGGGGCAATAACTCTTCACATATCTATACTTATTAGACTAGGCAACAAACGTGTAAGAGTAGTAACGTCCTCTTATTAAATGCACACATTCACTGTAACTCCTAGCATAGGATCATTCAGTAGGACAGTACAGTAAACTGTATGTTCTGTAAAAGACAGAGCACCTCTGGTATCGCATCAGACAGGTAATCACAGCATAGCATATCTCCAATGCGATGGTGACACTATCTCTTCATACAAAATAATGACCACCAATAGGTGCTTGTGTGTTTTAGTGAAAGAGACAAAGCCCTTCACCTTGGTATGTTGCTCACGTAACCACCTTCTACAATCAACCTGACCAATGAAATGTATTGTACACCTCATCCTTATTTGTAGTTTTATTTATTTCAGGATCAGTTGCTGGCTGCTAAATGTAATGATGCATTTCAGTAGATATTTATGAATACTATATTAGTTATGTATGGTTATTTATGTATGGATAATATTGTTTTTGCACATTGCTTGCTTGTTTTGTAATTGTATCTATAAATAAAGCCATTCACTGCAAATTTTACTCTGTGCGCAGTTCTGAGAAAGTGTCTGTGTTACCTTTCCAGTGTTAGGCATGCAAAGTATTGGTCCCTCAAGCTGGATTTGAAACATGTTTTTGCTCCATTAAAGGAACTACAGTTCATTAGATAGTCTCCATATTCATATCTATCTAAAGCACAATTTTAGACTGACTTCTTCCTGTTTTGATGTTGCTGTTCGCACGGCTGTTGTCAGCAGGACCAACCCCATCACTAGTAATCATGTGAAGGATAAATTGTCCAAACAAACTTCAGTGTACTTGCAGTGACCTTGACTGAAACATCAATTTGCTCAGACTACTTTCACAGTGTGTTAGAGGACAAAGTCTTCAGTCATACTTTTTGCATGATTGTTATGTTTGTGTCATAACTTAGTAGTTGTTCTGTTGTCATGGCCCTGTCTCTGTGTTAGTGCAAACTTTATATGAAAGTACAGCTGCCAACAAGATTGCGTTTATATCTGCTTCTTATCTGAACCTAGAAATGCTACGTTTGCATAAGTACATGTAGGTGTTGCTAGTTAATATTCTGTGCGGTAATAATTCATAAAAAATAAGTATTCAAAATTAAAACCTCAAGTCATTTGAGTTTGCAGATTGCCCTAATACATCCAGGATTAATTAACTCAAACCCAAGGTCAGGATTTTAATTGAACGTAACACATACACACACACACACACACACACACACACACACCACTCCTAAAATACTGCTTGTTCCTGCAGCTATGAATTTCACATTGAAGGATTAAAAAAACGGATCAAATTACAGTGTTGCGCAATACTACAGTACAGTACAGCAAACTATAGCATTGCATGGCACTCTTTCCTGTAATACTTTGAAATTATTAACATTTTAATTGGCAAAGTCCAAGCACACAACCACGCAAGTGCTCCACCATGTAGCAATCACATTTTGTTTGATGTAATGTTTATACTGTCCAATCAAGCTTGTTCAAACATCTCTTCATCTATCTTAGGTGTCAGTTTGCATGACTGCCAATTTTGTCACTCCGTCCTCTCTCTAACATCGAGGGATTTCCGTTTGGTTGCCCTTTTCCCTTCTCCCTTCTCCCTTCTTCCCTTCTTCACCAGTTCTCTTGCAATGGCAAGGGGCCATGACATTCTCATCACATCATGTTTTTACAGCAACATTGACATTTCTTATGTAATGAAACGCTCTATATAAAATACATAAACAGTATTATTATTATTACCCATTTGTGTCCTCTCAAATCCAACATTCAATTTACACTTTGTTTGTCTCAATGTGTGAGAGTTACATTTACTCTCAAAGAAATGTAGCTTTTATCATGACAAAACAAATGCTAATTGTTTAAAGAGGAAGAACCTTGATTCTCCACTTCCTCTCTCTAACTTTCCACCTCAGGAAGCGCCCAGCTGTCAGGGTCACCATATGGGAGATCCCATGAGAAACAGACCTGCCTAACCTCAGAGTCTGAGTCACGGCAGATACTGTAAACTGCCATGCACCTGCATACATACATAAATATAGGCATATTGGTCCTCTCCTCCTTCTGGTGGGTCCGTCACTGAGCCATTTTCTGAAATGCCCTTGGGTTGTCCCATCTGATGTTTGTGCATGTATATGAGAGTGAATTAATGCTCTTTAATGGGAGCTCTGTGCAACCTCGCTGATGCCTTTAATAGTTTTGTTCATCAGATCATAAACGTTCTACCCTCTTGCAACTACCTGCCAGTATAAATACTGTACAATGACTATAATGGCTTGCTGCACAGTGCGCACATATACCCATGCACGAATGTATGCACACATATACTAGCACTTTGAGATTTGTGCTGTTACTCTTTTTTTCTTGGACAACATCCTGCTCTGAGGACACAATTGGAAAGCATTGCATCAAAATGATTCAGGAAATTGCCTTATTTCTTTGCCCCATCCGCACTTACAGTACACAGGCTCGTTCCACCAATTAGGTGCCTATTGTCATAAAGAGCACATGTTCAACTTAATGAAAAACAAGTTTTCCCATCACAAGAGGTTTAAATAAGAAAAATACTATAGTAAGTGCCTATTAAGTGCCAAGTAAAGTAACAGGATTGACCGTAACAGTGTTGTGTGTGATTTCATCTTAAATCAGCCATAAATACTCTTGTGACAGGGGGAATGGAAGCTTGTTGTGTATAACAAGGAGGGGCAATTGACAAAAATGATAATTGTGAAAACATTTCTAGCCTGTCTATCTAACAACAGTAACAGGGTAACAGGGTTGTCGTGTTATGCTCGTTTCCCACCACAAAACACAAAAAAATGCCCCCAAAAAGTAGAACCAGCTCACCTGCTTTTACACTATGATTTGACTATTAGATGTTCAATGTTTCTTCAGAAACAATGATTTAAAAAGCAATAGTTTCACCATTTTAAAACAAGAGGGTTGACCTTTAATAGTTTCACCATATTAAAACAACAGTGATGACCTTAAAATGAGGGAAAGATTATTCTTTAAACCAAAAATTGTAAACATTAATCATAAGAAATAAATAATAATCTTCAGAAATGACTTTATCAAATGCTGACTTTTGGCACTTTAGCATGTCTTTATTCATTTCTTTTTATTATTATTGAAGTTTCCATGTGGTCTAAATTAACAGGCTTTTAAAATGCAATATTGGTGCACAATTTCTACTTAAAATATCAAAGGGATGCAAAAGGCACTTATTTCGTGGAACGACCCGACAGCAGTGGGCAGATCGATCTACAGCTATCTGCTTTGGCTGCTATCGCAATAACATAGAGGTCTACTCTGTACGGCATGCCGAGGCCAGAGAGGTTATATACTATATCG